ATTTAAATGAATAAACCATTACAGGAAAGATCTGGACCACTGAGAAAAAAAAAAAAAAAGTCTGCACCATTGAAAAGAGATCCATTTGTGGTAGAAAAGATCAAGCAAAATCGCATTAAGCACTGTGCTGATTGCTGCTATCTTGTTATCCAGGAGCACCTATCCAACACGAAGATATTGGAGGCAATAACATAAATAACCTCTGAGTTTTGGGGTTTTGTTTTGCTTTTTATTTACTGTTGGTATTCTCCCTCTCTGCTAGGGACAGGTCTCAACCAGATACCTCTGGAGGAAAAAAATCCCAAGACAGGTCAGCTAATACAGAAACCTAGGGATTGGTGTCAGCATTTACATTACAGATTTCAAGGACCACAGCCAAGCCATCCCAGTAGTCCCAGCTGAGCACCTGTTGAAGGGTGGGGGAAGAGAAAACAGCCCCAGAGAGCCCTGCTGCACAGGGTCCTCCATGCAGGACAGCAGCCACTCAACACTGACAGCAGCTACTCAACACCAGCTTCTGTCTTGTCTGAAAAGACCATGCTATGGCCAAACAGTATGTATTTCCACACTGAGATATTTTTACTTTACTGGTTCTACTTTAAAAACAATTTATTTTCTAAAGAACACCGCTGAAGATCATCTTGGGAAAAGCTGCCTACACTGCCAAGTTATTTTGTTTGCTGTCTGTCTCATGTTCTATAAAAACCCACACACCATATCCTCCTAAAAGTCTCCATTTCTTTCTCTTTGCCACATTGGAAATTCCTCACTTTAAATTGACTGTCATTCGGAAAATAGCCACACTAGAAAGCTTAGTGCAGCAAATTAGTCTGGAGTAGGTCTCTCGCTGGGCCAGGATCAGTATGGAGACCTAATCTGTAAACCGGTTTCCACAGACATAAATCAAAGTTAAAAGGCCTGGAAGACTCGTTCACAAATGATTCACATAACTCAAAGCAGCTCGTTTGCAGTGCTGAGATTTAGGAATGTTTGTGTGGTTTGTTGGGTTTTTTTTATTTTTAATTTATTGCTTCCTGCATGGTCACTTGGGAAAAAAAAAAAAGGAAAAAAAAAAAGAAAAAAAAGCAAAAACCAAGCAAAAACCCCAGTTGTATATCATCGTTCTGCAGACTTCAGAGAAAGGAAAAGAAACTGCTTGGTTCAGGATCAACATTCACCACAGGCAATAGGCACTGATTTACTTGCCTCAGACTTCCAAGTTCTGAATTATTCATAAACAAAGCCACTTGCATTTCAATAGTAAGACAATAGTGCTCCTAAACTCTTAATTAAGGTCACCAATCAAACTGGAAAAATTCAGCAGGAACACAAAGAGCTTTGCAGGAAATTTTATGGCAAGTGAAAAATATTTATTAGCTCACAGAGACATTGCAATCTTGACATAAGGCTGAAACAGTTGCAGTTTGAGGTAGCTTTTGCTTTTTGCCACAGTCAAAGCAAATTTTTCCATTTTGAAGTACTCCAAGAACTTCCTTAGAAACCCACTGACACTGACAGAGTTTGTGCTCAACCAGTTAGAGGCACTTTTTAACAAGCCTGCATCATATCAGCAAATGAAAGGCTGTCTTCAAGTCACAGACAGCCTGGTCCAGACAGGAATGCTTAACTGGAAGTAAGAGTACTTTGATCCAGGACAGTTCTATAAGGAACTAAATTTTTTAACCTAAACATTAGATGTCTATTACCTGGATCTGGGTTATAACCAACCCCCCAAATCTCTGCTTTTGACATATCTTTGGCTATCTACAATTATCTTTTGCGTATCTCTCCACAATGGATGAAATCCTGCTGTTGATGTCCAAGGAGAGAGCTACCACTGCTTTCACCAGGTTAGGATGTTACCCATTTTGTATAGCTAGGAGACCAACATAAGTTACACATGTGATTTGTGGAGTCCTCTGTGAGGAGAAAAAGAAATCCAAGTGACCCTCAAAGGATGGAAAATAAATATAAAATTGTTATTTTATTTTAGTTTGAATCCATCCTAAAACAGCCAGAGAAAGCCATGGAAGCAATAAATATATATGATTGCTGGTTCATAGTCAACTTATCACCTACCAAGACTCCCAGGTCCTTCTAAGCTGAACTGCTCTCCAGTAGGTCAGTCCCCAACCTCCTCTGGTGCTTGTGGTTCTTCTTCATCAGGTGTAGAACCCTACACTAGCCCTTGTTGAACCTCATTAGGTTTCTCTCCGCCCAGTTTTCCAGCCTATCAAGGCCACACTGAATGGCAGCACAGTTTTCAGGTGTATCAGCCACTGCCCCCAGCTTTGTATCATCATCAGCCTTGCTGAGGGTACATTCTAGCCCTTCACCCAGGTCATTGATAAGCAAGTTGAATAAGACTGATACAGAAAATGTTCTGTTCTGAAAATGCTCACTGATACAGAAAATGTTCTGCCCTTTTTTGAAGCTGACACTTGCAAAGTTGTATGCTCTTGAGTGTCTCCAACCTCACAAAAAAAGGAGAAAAAAAAAAAAAAAGCTTTTCTCTCAAACCCAGTAACACTTAATGCAGTGTTCAGTACATTATACAGCTACACTTACCACTTTTTGGTAAGGCAAAACTAATTTTTACACTTGCTATCCATTAGCAACTGGAAGATCTTCTGTAGCAATTGCCCCTCAGCAAGAAATGAAGCTTCCAGAAGACTGAAGATACCCTTGTGTAACAAAGGCTATACACAGGTCTTTGTACAGATACCCAAAATCCCTTTCTGCCTAAGGCTCAGGAAAATTCAGGGACCAGAAAAAGGATTGGATGATTTCAAATAATTTATTTTAAGTAACACCAATTTTTAACATGTTGCCTGAATAAATACTTCCGTCTATATCACATTAAAGAATATCAAATATGAAAAATGTGGCTTTCTGGCCAAGCCATGTTATCACTTGGAGATTAATAGTTTTCTTTAATGTGATAAGTATTTCATAAAATAAAATTTACTTAATAATCAGCTCTTTAAAGACTGGGTCTTTTTCATCTATTGAATGGCAAACAGGGATATTTACAGTGAAGTATATAGTTCCACTAAGAGTTCTTTAGGAAAGAGAAATTAAATTGGGTTCCAAGGTCTGGTCAGCCAAATGTCAGTTTCCCTATGCAAGAGTTCTTCATCTTGCTAAAACTTCTGATAGCAAGGTTTTGGTCATCCACAAATGAATAACTCAGTATTGAGTTAATTTATCGATGTAACTCAAGCTGAAACATACACATAGAGGCTGAAGTTATGCCTTGTTATTTCAGGTACCAACACTGACATCCAACACTATTATTGTCTTTTTCCTTTCCTTTTTTTATTACCAAGACTATATTTTGGAAACTTTATTAAACAGAAAGCTAAGGAGAGGATGACAAATGTCATATTAAATCAACTCCTCTACACCACCCAACATTTCACATCTTTGTCCCTTTACCATGCCAAGGAGCAGTTTAGGCCATATATTATTATCAGGCACTTCATTACACCCTTTTTTAATATAGAGTTTCCATTAAGCAAATACTTCTCACTTTGATGTTTCTTTCTTTGTCTTGCACTTTACTAGCTATGGATTAGCAACTTCTAAAGGGACTGCAGTAAGAAAACCATGGCATAGCATGATGTTCTTGATTAGGCTCTGTAAAAAGAGGAAATTAAGGATGAGTCACAGCTTACTACTCTATATTCAATTAGGACTGGCTTCATTGTGGCTGTGGTTCGTGCAGGATGTGCAGTTATCTAATACAGCCTGATTCTGGCAGCAGAACAATTAGAATGCAAAACGTAACTTAAAACAGGCTCTGGCAATATTTTTTCCTTTGTGTGACATCTTTCCTTCTGTGACATCTTCAGCAGACTCAAAACAGCAGTCATCAGATCATATCCTATACTGAGATTCCAAATTAATATTCTGAAACCGAATGCAACTTTAAAAATACTCAGTGGTGGAAAAATAGAATATGATATGGCTGAAGAAAGCAAGTGGAGAAGGGCTTTGATGCCTACACATGCACGTATGTACAAAATCTAAGAGATAAATAAATGCTATAACTAAACACAACATCCTGAAACTGACCTCTGTTCTGTGGTGTCCTCAAATCAGGCTCTTACGTCAACAATGTGCCCAAGACGTGCAATGCTCAAGCAAACCACCAGCATCAACAAAATCTTGCATATCTCCCTTCTTATGCATGACTCACTTTTAGCAATGATTATAAGAATCTGGCAGGGTTTTCCTACCTAACAGTAATCATCACCCTTTCTCCCCAGCTGGTCTGCACAGCTTCCTGATGAAGCCTTTGGCCTTGCTGCAAAGTATAGCACAAAGTGAAGTCACATGCACATTAAGATACCTCTCTTCCTACACGTTTCCACCCCAGGGCTATTTTTTCCTCCAGACACACATTCTTAAGCAGCATTCTGTTTCACTGATGACAGCTCAGGTACTTCAATGGCAGCTTAAACTGCGACGTGAAGGAAACTCAATACCCAAACAACCTCTGTCTCCCGAAATCTATAAATTGCCGCCTGTGAAGAGCTAGGTAAGTGTACTGGAAAATATCACTCTGGTTTTGCCTTATTGTATTTTTTTCCTGCTATTGGCCACTGTTACAGACAAAGCATTCTCCTAGCTTGATGTTTGTCTGGATCTGCGACAATCTTAAATGTGTGTGCTGTGCTCCTGAGCTCCCGTCTGCCCATCTACGGCAAGGTGGAAAGAGTTCAAATCCCCTTAGCCTTTTCTTTTGGTATAAGGCAGGGTTTTGAGCAGCTGTATTCTTCCTCCCAAATTCTGATTCTGTTATAATTCACTTTGTCTCAATGTTACTTTCAATAAGAAACCAACAAGAACATATTTAAAAGAAAGCATCAAGTTGGGCTGTTGGATATTATCTAATGATCAGAAAGAAGCTTGGAGCCTTCATTCATTTCAAAATGAGCCCATTAACAAGCTACGGTAACAGGGCAACCAACCAATTTCAGTAATGACATACTTACCCTTTAGTTTGAGGTCTACATTGTGTCTCAGCCAAGGATAAACACCATAGTTTGACATGTCTTCAGGAATAGGGTGATTATATATCCAGCCATCACATGCAAATCGATAAAAATTCTCACACGGATCTACAGATTGATTTATCTTGCTTAGGATGCCAGCAGCTGTAAAAAAGACACCACACAAATTTTGTGGAACATTTTTTCCTAAACAGAGAATTCCATGAGGCCACATTCCAGAAACGAGTATTACCATCTACCAGTCTCTCCAGCATGATGCTGACCTCACTTACAAGCTAAGCTTTGCCTGTTCTGGGGCTGATGTCTGCCCTGATCTCTGTAATTTTTCAAATAGTGTCAAAAATACCACCCAGCATCTCTAGCACCCAACAGTGCCTGCATGGGAAGCAAAAACCCCTGCAAAATACCTCCAATGAATGTCCCTGAGTGCTGTACAGCAATGACCATGGCACCACTGCAGGAATGTGAACTGCTGGAGCCAGACTCCTGAAGACAGGCTCTTCATTGTTGCCATGATAGAATTAATTGCCTGAGGAATTTAGTAGCACACATATCAATCAGCTTGCAATTAGTATTCCAGAAATTATGCACTGTTTACCTTAAGCTGAATAGCTGCACAGGAAAACAAATCAAGTTCTCATCTACCATTCACTGGAAAAGGTAACTGTAGTATTTTCAGCTCCATTTTGTGACTGCATCCTTGCTAGTTGCTATTGCAGGTGAGACTGGTAAGGGAGATCAATCTGACAAGCTAGAGACTTAGTTTTTGAGTATCTAATCATAGAATCATAAGATAGTCTGGGTTGGAAGGGACCCTCAGAGGTCACCTAGTCAAACTCGCCTGCAATGAGCAGGGACATCTTCAACGAGATCAGGTTGCCCAGAACCACATTCAGCCTGGCCTTGAATGTCCCCAACAGTGGCACATCCACCACCTCTCTGGGCAACCTGTGCCAGTATTTTACCACCCTCATAGTAAAACATTTCTTCCTTATATGTAGTGTCAGTCTACCCTCTTTTAGCTTAAAACCATTAGCCCTTTCACACATTATAGTGACCGTGCCATAAATCTACATGGGTTGAGTTACATGGAATATGTGGATGCTGGACTTTTTTTGGCTGAATGACCATGTGTTTTGAGATTTAGCCAAATAACTGATTAAAATTCCTAGCAGGAATTCACCTAACTTTTACAGACTTTATGGTACTATTTCTAGCATGCAGTAACTTCTTCATACACTTAGAGTAAATCTTCCAATGGTATTTCTATATCTCAGCTGCAATTCTCTTTCTCATATGAGAAACTCTCAAACTGACTACACTGAAGATATTTCCGTCCTTGGTTTCTCTCTCTCATGAAAAGCTGTACAGCAGGTCAGGGCTCAGGCTTTGAGATACTATGTAGTCACTACTCAGTGCACTTTGAGCTGGAACATGCAGGTGTCCAAGTCTGCCCTGGTTAAAAACCCAGCTCCTGCTGAGCCTACCCAAAATTCCATGTTAATTTTTGTGCATGGGAGAAGAAGAAAGCCAATTCAGATTTAAACTTATAAGTGACATTTTTTTTTTGTTGTGAAGCTCATGATGAAGCCCCTACAATTGTTTGTTTTGGTTAGGTTTTTGGCAGTGGTAGTGTTTTGATTAGTCATCCCACCTTACTTAGGTATTTGCATTCATTCAAGAATCAGCCACAGACCATGGTGCTCACGGTGACCAAGAGCACCATCAGCGCAGCACAGAGCAGAAGCAGAATGACAAGAAACATCCTGGTAATGCTGAGATCTGCAAATTTTGCAATTTACAGAGTCCCACAGAATTTCTCACACCAAACACTTCACAATATCAGCTTAAAATGGCTCATAATGGAAATAAATACTCTTATAAATTCACACAATGTCCACTTTGTTTCCAGTAAAATAACCCTAGGGGCAGATTTCCAGATGGGCTAACTACTGTTTGATCTTTATATTCAATATAAGACTCTTATTGATTTAGTGTGAGGAAAACTCTCCAAACTGACCAGTGCAAAATTGGTGTCTCAGGTCCTATCAGTCTTGGTCCCTTTAGTTCACATTTAATACTAATAGATGTCCCAGCTCTATGAAGGTTACCACATGTATCTCTGTGTGGGGAAGAGAGCCTGCTGATAAGGAATTAGTAGATCTTGAGTCACAGTCACCACATTACAATTGTGCAAGTCTGTGCAAGATCTGGCCCTGAAGCATTTTTGTGCTTAGGAATTCACCTGCTAGTTTTCTGACTACTGGAACACCAAAATACACCTGAAGGTCAAGTCACCCAATATTTTGTTTCTAGCCAAAAAATAAATAAGCCCTATGGGAAACTTTGAGTTAACCTGGGTAGAATAGAGTTAAAACAATTTAAAACATTAATTTCAATTGCAGAATATAAACAGATCTTTAGCAACTTAAACAGTGACTTTCTAAAACTTTGTTGGACTTTTTTACCCTCATTATTAATGATGATTTCTGAGTAAAATGTCTCATGAAAAAAACTAAACAGGATAATTATTTCATTAACATACTACAATTATGATACAATAGAGAAAATAAAATTGTTGCTTACCAGCTTCAATGCATTCTGGGGTCAAACAGTACTGTTGCTTAGGCTGAAACTTTATGATACCTTGGCTAACTGCAAAACGGAAAACCATTATGAGATCATTTGTAGTTAATTTTGACCATTGCAGCCAAATGTTGTGTACTTGATCATTCAAATGTCCGTGCAAGCTGTCCTCAACACATCTCTGGCTATGTGGATTTAAAGCAGTTAGAATGCATATGAAGTAAATACTGCAGCTTGTAAAAAAACTTTTGCCCTCCTGTGCCTCATTTCTCTGCTTTGCTTGTAGGCAGGATGGAGCAAGGGCTATTTCTCAGCATATGGTTTGCACAGCACCTGGCACAGCATTTCAGCCCTACTCACCAACACAATGCAGACAATTAATCATTGTCACTACCATCCTCCAGAGATGCAACTTCCACAGCTGGCAGTGCAACATGGAGTGATCTAGCCACCTTCCACAGGGTATCCACAGCTCCTCCTGAGCTGTGGGGCTCACACTGCTTGGAAGCACCAAGCTGCACAGCCCCACCAGCATGACCTAGCACCAACAGGATGCTTTCAGGGTCTGCTTATTCCAGCCTGGAATACACCAGTCAGCAATGGGCATAGGGATAGCTATGGTTTATAAAGCACAGTACAGTTTCTGTCTGAATTGTCTCCCAAATGTATTGTAACTGCATTTGCTTCTAAAACCTTTGCTGATGAGAACTATGAAATTGTCAGTTAATTTTGCCCATCTTTTAAAAATTTGTATTACAGCTGCCACAGAAGCTTAATTGCAGACACTGTTGTCAGGCAGCAAATATGCAGATAATTGATACTTTGGATGAGGATGGGAGAATCCCAAGGGGTAGATGAAATAAGACTCAGTAGATGTGTTCAGTAGACAAATAAATGTCTAATCATATTAATTATATTAATAACTTGGTTCATGGCAAAAATAAAAAATAAATTAAAAACAACAATAATGGAATGTATCAAGGTATCATAATTTCACCAGCACTGATAATTATTTCTCCTTTGGTTATATGCCGCTCAAAAGGGATAGGAAAATATGAAATGGTATTTCAGCACAGGAAAATTTTACGATAAAAAAACTAAAGTGAGAGTTTAATTTCTTCCAGCCTCATAGCTTTAATGACAATTAACGACAGAAATGGCTGGATTGCAATCAGATTTACTCAGAAACTGAGAATGTAAAACTATTTCTGGATAACTTTACCAAAGCTTGCATGAACACAGTGAGACCACCTTTGTAAATTAGCCAAGAAATACATGAGATTTTGAAGCATTTAGAGATTGAAGAATGGTAAAAAATAAGAGAAGTCGAGGTCTCCAAAATACGATTTTGAGCCACATGAAACACAAATAATAGATAATATGCTTATTAATTGTTGCTCTCCTCCCAACTTGTCCCTTTTTTAAAGTTAGCCTTTTACAACCCATCCAGGTCTTGACAGATTGCTAGATTTTTTTCCTTAATAAAGCACATTCTTTTGCACTTAATCGGAAGTTAGGGAGAACAAAAATGAATCAGTAGAGAATCTGAAGTAGCCCTCATAGTTTTGATACTTATAAACAAAAGCAAAATACCATTTCAACTGATTTTGTTCCATTTACAACATCACCATTATAGCAAACTAAAACCAGTTCTTTGGCAGTAACATTTACCTTTCAATGAACAGCTAATATTGATTGAAAATTTTTACTTGGTTTCTTTCTTGTACCTTTTTGTTGTTAAGATAACTAACAATTACATTATTACCTACAGTTGTTACAACACTCAGTGTCCCCGCTTCTTCCTTTATAAACCTGTTTCCAGATTCTTAAGCAAATACACATTGTAGTTAAGTTCCCCTAAAAAATCTGGAAAGGGAAAACACCAATATGCAGAAGCAAATGGTGTGGATGTTCCTATAATCTGAGAAATCCAGGGTCTACCAAGTCAGGAGGAGGGGCTACCGAATTGAAGTTCAAAGTTGCCTGACTTCTTTCCTTCCTGGGGAACTGGAGAATGAATTGCTTCTTTTTGCTCTGACCCTGGCTCCTAAGCAGGAGGTGGGTCCTCTCCTGCTACAACTCACACCACCATGCAGAGAGCTGCAAGCAGGACCCAGTCTGATGCCAAGTGACTCCTCTGGTAGCTCCCTGCTGGAGTCATAGTATGGCTACAGCTGGAAAGACCGAGCAACAGTAAATAAAAATACATAATTCTCTCAAATTCCTTCTTAGAGTTGCAGGAACTCATGAGAAGAAAAACAAGAAAAGCAGGAGAAGGCTACGTGTCACTCCTCAGTGTGGGAAATTGAAGGGAAATCATTCCAGGTGTACCAGAAACAGCAAGTTTTGTAAAATAAATGAAAACTGAAGAAGTCATTTTGAGGTACCTAAAATGTTTCACATGACCAGTTATAACAGTCTCCTTTTCTACAGTTTAACAAATCTAAAAAAAAGAGTTAAACTCAAACTTACAAACAAGAGTGTCACAATGAAACTCTGAAACATTGCACTGATAAAATGTTGAGCCAAAACAATTTAACTTTTTTCCTTTATTCTTTTGGTTGAAAACCTTGGACAACTCCCAGACAAATCCTACGAACATTTTTGTTGACCCACAGCCAGCGTTTTTATTTTCTTAGCAGTTATGCCAATGAAAATTTTGACACTGGCTGTGGAATAGACCTCAGCACCCTTAGAAACTATGTCTAAGAATTAACATATTTGCTTGAATTTTCACGTCGGGTCTATGGATAGAACAATTCTATCTCTGACAAGCTACGGTGGCAAATGTCTGCTTTTTACAAGCAATAAACAATCTAGCGTTAAAATAAAAGAAAAAAAAAAGAAATAAGGTCTCTCCATTACCTTCTGGTGTTTGATATTTTATTCTTGAGATGAAAAACAATGTTTTTCATCTAGAAACAATATTTTGCACTAGCAAGTTGAAGATTCAAACCTACTCATATTTACAAAGGGTTCTGTTGAACCAAGTGGGGTTACTCACTTGTACACGAACTACTTGCCTTCAAATGTTTGGAAATTTTGCTCTAGAACAGATAAACAGTCACTAATTGCAACCCTGGTGCTTTAAATATTTTACATAGAACCTAGCGTAGTTTTCTGTTGTGATGATAAGTAAAACAGACTTTTTAAACAAGATCACAGAATTATAAAGGATTGGAGGGAATCAAATAACGGTTAGAGGCTACATTCCCTCCAGTCCAGGGAAATCTGTGTTGGTCTAAAGAAATGAAGAGTTGGGCTCAATTATTCTCAGCCAGTATCTGCCTCTGAAAGTTCTTACAAGATATAACACTGGTTTCTCTTCTTTATTCTGCTTTGTGGCTCTGGGTTCATTTATACTTCTTCACATAATTTTATAGGTGTAGATGTGTTTCCACGCAATACTCCAACAAAATCAATCTACAGATGAGTCCAATCTTGGAAAAGAAAAACTAATTCTTTCTCTATTTCATCCAGTTACAGCTTATGAGTCCGATCAAAACGTTTTAATCTTATCCTGGATGTAATCTTTCCGATTTTTGCAAAGCCGACTTTGCGATTCATTATAGAAGATGAGAAAGATCTAAAAAATGTGCAAGCATATGCACTATTGAAGCCTTCTACAGCAATGCTAGTCAAGCCCTAAATGAAAACCAAATGAAGGAAAACCCAAAGATTCTATAGAATGTGTGCACTACAGATTCATTTTCAGGAAACAGAATATTATTGCACATCGGTCACAATCTGTGCATTTGGAACCAGCGTTAGTGACATGCATAGTTTCACCCGTTTCTCCCTGTTTTGTGAAAGAACCCAATTCTAGTGAGAACACATTCAACTGAGTATCCAAACATAATTCAGCATTCAGAAAGTTACATGAGCTCACATTGCATCTTCTAGCTCTAGCGTTCCCACAACAAATCCTTCTCCTGACACATTTCCATTTCAGCATAAGTATAAAATGAGGGGAAAAGAAGAAAAGACTGAGATTTTCATGAAAACAGACTGTGGAGCACAAACGCTGGTATCAAGAAGCCAGGCTGGGGAGGGTTGCATTGAGGTTAGCCTCAACCTTTTCACTTACCCAAGAAAAGTGCAGTGCCAAGCACAACAGTGCCACTCACAAAGATTCCAAGAGCAATTCGTGTGGCTTTGCTGGCTGCTCTCCTGGACTCAGGTACCGTCTCTCCTTCCATCGGGATGGCCTAGGATGTGCTTGCTCTTACGGAAGTCTGGGTTTGTTCTGCTGCTGTAGTATCAGTATTTCAGCTTTCACAAACTGCACCCATGAGCTCTCCTCCTCCTCTCTCCTATTTACAGCTCCAGGTTTCTGTCGTGAACCATTTCCTAGGCACTTCCTGCTCTCTGTCTCTCAAAGGAAAATTGCGCATTAAATAGTCGCTGTCTCCTACGTTTTCCTCTGACCAGGAGGAGGAAAGGCGAGTGGTGACCACTGAGTGTACAGCCCTTGCTGCCTGTAGAGCCAGTATGAGCCAATCACTCAGCAGTCCCCCTTATCAAGGGCTCCGAAAACAATGATTTCACAATGTTGCTGAACAGATGTTTTAGCTATTCAAACATATAGCTGTAAACCCTTTACAATCAAAGCAGGATTGCTGACAACTTTTATGAACACAAAACTGATGGAAGGTTTCCTTTTTTTCTCCTCGTGCTTATTTAAAATGACTAATTATCTGCTGTTTAAAGTTTTCCCCTCTTAAACCATTCCTGCTGCATCATTTGGCTTCACCAGAAGAGATACCCACTCAGTGGACAAATCCCTTTTTAAAGCTTCTGAGGAGCTCTTAGAATATCATGTAACATTTTATTTTGGGAATTTGGTATGTGACACTGCATGCCAAAAATCACAGTCCTGCAGCACAAAGCAATAATCAGCACAACCTACAGAATAGGGCTGCTTTAAAAGCTAGATTTTATTTTTTTTTTCCAGTCAAGTTATTTTAGTCCTTACTGATACATAATGAATCTTAGGAGGTGATCTTTTGCTTCCAAGTACTAGTATGAGTTTAGTGGAAAGTATCTATTTGGCACTTCAAGTTGGTGGGGAATAATAATAATAATAATAGAAAAAGAAAAAGCTGTATTTATATGGGTTTTTTTAGTTTTGGCTTAGACATGATAATCATTTCAGGGTGAATTTCTCTGAGCTGACTGTGACATTCAGCCTTCTGAGGAGCTCTCACTCCCTCCAGAGCTGGACTCTCAGGTAACACAAAAAGATGCAGGGAGAGGTATTGCCATGCTCATGCTCCCATAACAGTTATGTGTTTGAGTTATTTCTGTGAGGATTTAGGAGTACTTTTCTCAGTCCCCACCCATGTGTTAAAAAAAAACGCGCAAGTAGAGAGAAGAAAGGTATACATCAAAAGGTGCATATGATGGCAAAGTTGCCAGTTTAGAGACTGAATGTTTCTTCCCCATGTGAGCCCCTGCACGCAGGTTGTCCTGGATACCAGATGGGCATAAAGTGAAAACCCACCCCATCCAGAAGAGTTTGAAGGTCCTGAAACCCTCACTCCTCAACCCCTGTACAGCCTAGCTGTGGTCCTGCAAAAAAAACACCCTCATTTCTTACTCCTCTCCTTCTTTGCCAGCAAGTTCCAGGAGGGAATTCTCATCTCTGCTTGGCATAGAACAGCAAAAAAGCATTTATTTACTTTCACCTGCCTATTTTTCCCACATATAAACTATAATTTTTGACATCCATCCGCTGAAGAAAGAGGGAAAAAATGCCATGAAACCAAGAGGACCATGTACCTTCCAGCACAAGAGTTCCCATTCACACATGAATGATTCCATGGGTGTCAGCAGATCCCTGGAATAAACAATCCTTAACACGAGAGTAGCACAGGTTTGAGAAGGTATTTAAGTGACACTTGTGCTGTTGAGTCTTTATATCAGAAATTACTGGAAGTCTCAAAATGGCTGCCAAAAGGGCAGGGTATTGACACAGAAAATGCATGGATATGCTGTGATCTCAACACTGAATCAACTTTGCCCATAATCTGAATACTGAATAAATCTCAAAACCATCTGACAAGCATTTGCTCTTGGTTGCAAGATGGTTTTCCTTCTATGTCAGTACTGAACCACTGACAGTACAAACGCTGAACAGTTATTAGACATATGCCTACTGCCCATCATCTTTATATGCCTCCAACCAACATTAAATGTTCACATCCTTGCTCAAACTGTCCCATACTTTATAACTCAAATTTTGCTTCCTAGAGAACTGCTACCATGTACTGAATATCATGCTCTGTTAGTGTTTCACTAACAGCATTTTGCTTTCAAGGTGCGATCTCTCTCCAGGACAACATCAGGCCAGAAACCAAGAACAGCTTTCAACGGTGCAAAGCAGAAACCAGTTATTTCCCTTAGGAAAATTGTGGGGGGGGGAAGAGGCAAAGGAAGACAGGGAAGAAGATTAAAGGGAGAGGCTGGACAATTCAGTCTCCTCTCCTGCACAGCTAAAGAGAAGGTGAGGCTATGGGAGCATGGAGATATCCCAAGAAGAACCAGCAAGCTCCAACTACAGGACTTCTCCGGAGGGTCAGCCCAAAGCAGCAAGTGATCCATCTGGCAAGAAAATCACAAATCAGCTGCCAGAAGCAGTATGGCTTCTCTATGTTCGTGTTTGTGGCCTTACTTACATTGTGGCATAGTTTAAGAGTCCTTCCCTGTGGCTGTAGAGACTGGTTGCAGTCACTCATCTTGGTTTCTCCAGCATGTACAGAGCTATGAAATCAGGGCTGAAACACAAACAGCTGTAGGCAACAGCTGCAGAGGTCTGTTTCTGGCAATATTTGTGAAGGTGCATGGAGCACATGTGGACCAGCTTTTGATACTGCTGATCAGTAACAGAAGTTTGTGGAATTTGATACGTGCTTCTGATGAATGTGGTAGGATTTGGTTGGTTGCTTGTAATAACTCCTCCAGCTCTTTGGCAGGTACACAATACATGGCCACGCTTACTGTTGGAAAGGCTAGCAGCACTTCTGCCTATTTTTGCCCAGTAAGGCACTTAATGAAGCTAGGCAAAGATTCTGTTAAGCATTCATAAAAATTGAATAGTCATAGGGAGGAAAAAAAGCAGTAATTAATTGCAACATGCGCTGAATCACTCTTCGCTCACTCAGAATCCCCTCTGATCAAGATCCCGCTCAAACAATGGGAATGCTCTGGCACTTAAAACAATGGCAGGCCAATGAGCAAATATTTCCACCCAAACCCATATGCAGAAGCTGGCAAATCCTCTGGAACATGCGCTGGCCTGAACCACAGCAAGAGCATCCCCACTTATAGAAAAAGTCTGTCTACATATGTAAGTGTGTGTGTATGCACATGAACGTTCACTAGCAAATACAAGCATGTGTGTATGACCTTGCTCTTTCACAAGCAAACACGGTTCTCACTTCCAACCACTATGCCAGAATTGGGTAAAAGTGCTTGATCAGAGCCAAAATCAATAGTACTATGCCAACTTCTCCCTACATAGGCTGGTTCAAGGAAGTTCACATTTCTTGATTTCTGATGCTGAGTTACACAATACTTTAGCTACAGAAGACATTTCCTCAGAGATGCTGTCCTCATTGTGCACATTAAATACTTGCCCTATGTGGGACACAACTGAAGGTTACCTTAGAGGAATTAATTGAGCTTGACAGAAGCAGTTCAGAATCAAAACATCACAGCTCTGATGATGTCCTGTGAGCACTTATAGCTCATGGTAAAATGAAGAATTTAGCCACTACCCACTGTTGGTGGCACAGTCACCAGATACAGCTTGAGTGGCTTCAGCAGAAAAGCAGAGGTATATGCTGGCTTTGTTGAAAAAGATTAATAAGCATGAGATTAATACAGCTTGACCATTTGTAAAGGCTGCATTCCATTTCATTTCAAGTCTTCCACTATGGGGCCTTGAACTTTTTTTCGAACAATGCAGCTGTTTGTAGCCAGAATTAGCCAACTGGGCTTCACTTACACAGTGTGCTTGAGAAAAACCGAGCACGTTGCATTTGAAGACAGCTTAACCATTTGTCCTCAGACCTCTAAATCTTATAAATGATACTCTCTTTGCCACAAACTCCCCCAAATGTCCATGCTGCCGCCAACAGCAACCCTCTGGCACAAATTCACATCCTTTATTCATATGACAGATACAGCTGGAAATAAATAATTCCATTGTTTTCTGCTGGTAAAGCCACATCACAGAAGGTCTCTGCAGCTGTGAGAATGTGGGTCATTAATTAAGAGCCAGTAGAGAGCCAACAGGCCTTGCAGAGCTCTGAACGCTGCTGGTGGCAGGCTCTTCCACTAACTATAAGCACAACTGTGGAGAGGACAGCCTGCAAAGGAGAAAATTTTGTTCTCCAACACTTTATTCTCTAAATCAATTATTACTTTTCTTTTTTAATTCCAAGTAGGTTAAGCTGTTCTTATTACTCTAAGAAAAACTTGTTCCTGCTGTAGGAAACACTGCATTCTCTGACTAAAAGGTGCTTGTATCTAACCCAAACAGCAATTCATTATGAAAGCAAACATCTGGGATGATTAAAGTTAAACCACTCAATTTTGCAAGCTTTTTTAGAGCTGCTCTTGAAAAAGCACTTTAATGAAACAATGCACATAATCTTGAGCAAAAAGAACTGCTTTAGGTCTTTCGGCAATTTTTCTTCAAGAAGCAGATTACATTATAGCTAAACACTACTTCTTCAAGAAGCAGATTACATTATAGCTAAACACTACTTCTCCTTAAAGGACACATTCACACTATAATATGTGTGTCAAGTCATCTCAGGCATCTGTCATCCCACAGATTAAATCTGGAGTCTGTGTCCAGTGTACATGCTGACATGGACTCTAAAGAGGCATGTTAAATGGGGATTAAACCTGAGGTAACTCAGAGTAATTGTTTTCGCTTTCTCATATGATCTAACTGAAAATGCACTGAAAAAGACATTGCTGGAAAATGTGACACTTCCAATGGCCAGAGCTATAGGTGCAAGGGTGTAGATAGGATACAACTATCACATCTACCAATATTGCATTAGGGCCACCAGAGCTTTATCCACTTATTTTGCTCTGTCCCAGAGGTTCACTCACAACTGTCAAAGACTATTTATATGAACAGTGGAAGCAAGGAAGCTTGGTGTCCAGTGAGTTTGTGTCTAACGGATGAATTTCCAGATGTATAATAAAAAATATTAGAAGGAGTCAGGAATGTTGTAGACAAGAATTTGAGAAGTCTGCTCAGGACCTGGACAGGTTCACTAAGGACTGACTGGACCAAGTCATGGGCTGGGAGCTTCATGCAATTCTAACCACATAGATAAAGACCAAAGTCTGAGTCACACTTCAGTACAGGGAGGTTGGTGCAGGGAGCTGAGGCCTCTTTAGACCTCTCCTATGAAGACAGGCTAAGAGAGTTGAGCTTGTTCAGCCTGGAGAAGAGAAGGCTGTGGGATGACCTTAGGGCAGCTTCCAGTATGTGAAGGAGCCAAAAAGAGCTTGAGAGTAACTTTTTAAAAGAGCATGTAGGGATAAAGCAAGGGGCAATGGCTTTAAACTGAAAGAGGGGAGATTTAGATTAGACAATACAAAGAAATTATTTACTGTGAGGGTGATGAGGAACTGGCACAGGTTGCCCAGAGAAGCTGTGGCAGCCTCATCCCTGGAAGTGTTCCGGGCCAG